TAGAATCTACCATATAGTTGCCATACTTTGAGAGAAGGATTTTTTTCACAAAATCTCTTCAATAAGACGAATGTACTCCATGTATCATATCGGTTATTGCCGAGTACAAAATTAATTCTAAGGCACTCTACTGATCCAGCTTTCGAATAACTGCCTTCATTTTTATTATGTATAACATGGGATGGACATACCACTGACTTCATCACCATGTATCTACTAGTTTGAATATGACAAGAAACCCATACAGATGATCCACTTTTTTTAGTTTTCTTGAACTTCGAAAGATAGCTAAAAGCTATTTTTTAAATCATGATTACATTTCAAAATGAGGTGAAAAATAACATGTTCCACTTTGGGAATAGTTTTCTATTTAAAATTTGCTGAAAGCAATTTTATAATCTTATTATAGTTAACAGTGAATTCAAATAACGCGTTTTCGAGAATGCACTTTAGTAAAAACATCAAGTCAGATGTGTCAGGAGAAGGAATGTCTGAATGCATGCTGCAGTTTAAATTCGATAGTGCTTCTTCTAAACAGAGAATACAAGAGAACTGAGATTTACCCCATTATTAATGAATCCTTAGTTTTAAACAGAGTCATAACGTTACATAAAACCAAGAAAACAAAGGAAATACCTATTGTTCTAATTACAAAGTATGACCCAGGAATCAAAGGTCTGAAATCCAAATTATTAAAATACTGGTCATCAGTTTTAAAAGATGAAACATGCGAAGAAATCTTCAAACAAAAGCAATGATTGCATATGCTAATCATAAAAATATTGGTGATTTCCTTACAAAAGCTATTTTGGAACAATTATGGTTGGATCCCTGATGAAGCAGGACCGTGATTTTGATGTTTAATACACCAATACAATATCAAAACGCTGAAACACTTTGCTGTCATAATAATACAGTCAATAATTAATTACTCGTTCAAAACGATGTCAGTATGAAATAAAAATAAGAAAAGTCGCAGCACTGTGTCGGGTCCTCTAATTTGACAATTGCGTGGCTGATGGGTGTTGCCTAAATGCACAGGTCACTGTGACCTACTTTTCAGTTGACGTTTTTCAAGGACCCAAGATGCATATCAACTTAGAAAGTTTTATGATCCAAAAGATCATCGAGTATGCCTCTTAAACCTTTTGAAATCGAATGCCTGCAAAGTTAAAAAAATAGGTCACTGTGACCTACTTTTAAATAAATATTTTTATGGCCCCAAGGTGATTCTAAACCTCTCAGTATTCAAATTATTGACCTTTGATGTTTTGAAAAAGATAAGCCATAAAATTCAAAAAGTAGGTCAAAGTGACCCAATATTTAATTAACGTACTCCGAGGACCAAATTGCATCAATTGACAAAGTTTGATGATCATAGGCCTTAAACTGTTCAAAATATGTCTTTAAATCATTTTGAAAAAGAATGGCTGCAAAATTTAAAAAGTGTGTCACTGTGACCTAATTTGAGTCAACAAAATTTGATATGAGGTCCTTAGATGCATCAACTGAAAAGATTTGGTGATCATAGTCTTTATAGTAAGCAAAATATCAACATTTTAATAAAACGTAATTTTTGGTCAACTTTGAAGTTACCTTGAGACCACGCCCTTTGCCCCAGGGCAATTCCCCGTGCAAATTTTAATCTACAACATAACATAATAATTTTTTGTAAGTTTGGTGATAATCTGCCCAGTGGTTCTTAACAAGAAGATTTTTAGCCACCAGTACTTTTGGTTTTATTTACTTAATTTTCTCCCCTTGTATAAGGGTCACAACCCCAGTTTTAGTAATAACGGGAGCCCTTGGACCAAGGATATCCTGTGACAAATTTGACAATAATTGGCCAAGGGGTTCTTGAGTTATGGTCCATATTCTAAAAAAAAATACACTTACCACAGAAATGGCCATAGCATTAGCTCTTTGAGCCTTTGTCTCAGAAGAGCCAAAAAGTGGGAAAAACTAGAAATATGTTGATAGGACATGAATGCCCAGCCCAGGGTATGCAACATGAAAATTTGTATAAGTGTATGGAATTTGATGAGAATATCTTGAATAGTTTCTTTAAAATTGAAATCTAAAAAGTTGGTTATAGATGATAAATTCTCGCCAAATTATGTATGAGTGCATAAGCTTACATAAATATATCTTAAATGATTTTTTTTTAACTAAGCAAAATGCAAATTTGAGAAAAAGGAGGTCAAGGTCACAAGAAAGTTCAAGGTCACACAATTTTGATGCAGTTTAATAGTTCTCACAAATTCGTATCAGCATATTAAATTTGATAAAATAATTTTGAACCGTTTCTTTTAAACTGAGTAAAACACAAATTGAGAAAAGTAAGGTCAAGGTCAAAATGAAAAGTCAAGGTCAAAAATGGTGATGCAGTTGACGCGGCCTCGGTCAGGTCAGGTCACCTCGTTTTGAATAACTTACATCAGTATGTATCAGCATATGAAGTTTGACACTAATTTAAGACAAGAGGCCCAGGGGCCACATCATTCACCTGAGCACTCTGGCTAGGAAAAAGCAGAAATCACTCGAGTCTTGAAAAGTTTTGATATATAAGTGGTTCGGGGAAGGGGGGGGGGGTTAATTTGAACTTGAATCTATACTTCAAAGGGATGCTTTTGAATTAATATGACAAATAATGTCTATGCTGTTCTTAGGAAGACAATTTTTATTGATATATTATTTGTATTCCTTTGTATAACTATGATCCCCTGTTATGGCCCCTCTATTCTCCTGGGGGGGGGGGGGGGTCATGATTTGAACAAAATTTGAATCTACATTACCTGAGGATGCTTGCATTTAAATATGACTAATTATTGCTTTGCTGTTCTTCAGAAGAAGATTTTAAAAGGCTTGCTTTTTCCTATGTATTCCTATGTAAAACTTTGATCGCCCATTGTGGCCCCACCCTACCCCTGGGGGGTCATGATTTGAACAAACTTGAATCTACACTTCCTGAGGATGCACCCATAAAAAAAAAACCAATCATGGCTTTGCTGTTCTTGAGAAAAAGATTTTTACAAATTTTTCCTATGTATTTTATGTAAAACTTTGATCACCCATTGTGGCTCCACCTTACCCCGGGGGGGGGGGGGGGGGGGGGTCATGATTGGAACAAACTTGAACCTGCACTACTTGAGGATGCTTCCATGTAAATATGACCAATCATGGCTTTGTTGTTCTTGTGAAAAAGATTTTTACAGATTTTTCCTATGTATTCTTATTTAAAACTTGGATCGCCCATTGTGGCTCCACCCTACCCCCGGGGGTCATGATTGGAACAAACTTGAATCTACACTACCTGAGGATGCTTCCATATAAATATGACCAATCATAGCTTTGCTGTTCTTGAGAAGAAGATCTTTGAAGAATTTTCCTATGTATTCCTATGTAAAACTTTGATTGTCCATTGTGGCCCCATGGGGGTCATGATTTGAACAAACTTGAATCTAAACTATCTGACAATAATTCCACATGAATTTCATCTTTCCTGTCCCACTGGTTCTTGAGAAGAAGATTTTTAAATGATGCCATTAATTTTTTGTTATTTCATAATTATCTCCCCTTGGAGGAGGGTGTGGCCCTTCATTTGAACAAACTTGAATCCCCTCACCAAAGGAAACTTTGTGCCAAGTTTAATTGAAATTGGCCCAGTAGTTCTGGAGAAGAAGATGAAAATGTGAAAAGATTACGACAACGCCAACGACGACGACAGACAACGGACAAATTTCGATCAGAAAAGCTCACTTGAGCCTTTCGCTCAGGTGAGCTAAAAAAAAAGAACACCTGTAAAATTAGCCAATAATGATGAACACCTTCATCTGGTGAATAATGAGTATACAAATTTTCAGACAAATCCATGCAATAGTCTCCGAGAACAGGTGCGGACAAAAACTCGATTTGGCCTTTGGAAATAAGCTTACTTTTGGGGAAATGGAATCTTGCTGACTCCCTCATTGATATACTTTAACTGTATAAAAAGGCCTTAAAACAAATTCTAAGAGTTTAGTTTACAAAGAATGTATTTTGAAATAATAATCATAGTACATTTTAAATACATAAAAATAGAGGTATAAATTAGTCATGAACTCAGTATATTCAAACAATAAATGAAAATGAATATAACATATCATTTCCATGCAAAAAATTCCATACAATAAAAGTATAAAAATATATGAAATTTCATGAAAAAAAAAGCATTTCATTTCCGTTAATTTTTCTAACTAGAGATCAATGACAATCAATAATAAATGTAATGATAAGTATATAAAGTATATTGACAATAAAAATAAATATGCCCTCTGGTTTCCAAATCCTTATTTGCTAACAAGTATACAATTAAATTTTCTGTATCTCAGTGAACAAGAATAATGCATTTTTTAAACAATATAACATATATTTTTCTCATCATTCATTTCATATCTAATGCATAACATGTATAATAATATTAAAATTTCTAAATACTATAAGTCTGACAACAATAGAGACCAGGGTTAATTATCAAGGGAAAAAAAGACAATTAATTGCATACAACCAGGGATCTATATACTAAATAGTTAGTTTATAGGTCCATGATTAAACTCTTCATTACCTTTGATTTAAGTTACTTCTTTATAAAAGTACATGTACCTTAGACATTTGCAAATTATACTCTATACCAACATCCTACAATGACTGTGTCTGTGTTAAACAGGTCTCGAAAATTTTCCTATACTGAAGTCAAGAACAACTGAGAATGGCGTTAAATACTCTGTAAATATAATATTTTTATGACCAATCAAAAAAAAAAAAAACAAAACAAAACCAAAAAAAAAAAAAAAAAAAACCAAAATAAAAAAAAAAAAAAATTTTACACATCCACAAACACACATGAATGAAACAATAAGAAAACATAGTAATGCTTCTCCAAAAATAAGATTTGTTGATACAAAGTTTCTGGAAAGTTCAAAGGAACAGTACGGGAAAATTATGTGTAGATATTTCTCATATATTTCATGAACAAACTTGAAATAGATTCCTGTAAGCAATCTAGAAGCAAGTATTTAAAACTGAATAAGGTACTCTTTTTCCACAAATACGTTATAGGATATTTATAACCTTAAAAATAAAGATCCTGAATGAAATCCTTATGCAAAACAACAAACAAACTGCACATTAAAGCTCATAATTGCAGAACTATGTGTCATGCTTTACCTTTCCATCATTAATAAAAGCCTTTCAAATTCTTTACCATTTACTTATTTTGACAGTAAAGGGAAAAAAATGACCTTCACATCATAAACCTTCTAAAACATGTAAAATTATGTTTGCTTTCTGAATAACCACACTTATACCATGTATTATAAAATATTCAAAGTTAAAGACATTTCATTAAAGCTGACATATCAAGAAAAGTCTTAACAAGTTCAAGTCGTCCTTTCTTTGACAAAATATTGCATTTTTCACTGTATTTAACAGTAGCACAGTCTTGTTTAGGAAGTCGTCCCTTTCTGACACATTCCAAATACTTCTCATCTGTTGCAAATGCTACAACTGTTATCTGTAAATAGTTATATGTATATGTTAAAAAAAATGTTAAACAAATGATGACCATACAAATTTTTCCCCACCTTTTAAGTGGCTTATAATAGCATTTTGCACTTATTTGTGGAAATTGAACTATTTACTACTTACTTCTGTTGCTTGGACAATAAGACCAAATATTCCAGTGGGTCCAAACAAAGAATACTGCAGAACTGAGAGTATTTCTCCAACATGTTGGCCTTTTAATTTACTGTCCACATGCTGAATTGGGTTTTGTACCTTCGTGACCTTTCTCAACTTCCTCTGAGTTTCTGAATCAATTTCTTTGCTATAGAACTTTTTCACCTACAAAAGTATGCCAGATTTTCAAAATGTATTAATACAAAAGGCCTTTGGACCACAATGCCCACCTGAGTTTCTTAGGCCTATCCTTTTCTTCAATGAAAATAAATTAGGAAAAAAATTTTATTCAAATAAAAAATTCTTATCCCATATTGTTTCCCAAAACTAGCCACAAAGGGTTATGACATACCTTAGTTTGAATCAACACATCCTTAATAATAATAATACTTTTTAGAGAGGGTAACCCGATTAGTGCAAAGCACTAGTCTTCCTCGGGGCCCTCTATGCATGTATACTAAATTATGAATGCAAAAGTACTGAAGTTAATGGGTTTTTATCACATATCTAAATTTCTTAAAAATGATGCAATATTATATTCTTGAACCATATAATTATCATTTAATTATTAAAAAATTTTGAAAAGGGTTGTAATCAGGGGATAAACGTCCGTGATATAGGGTTCTCAAACTAAAAATTTCCACTAGAATTAGATAGGGGTCACATGGTACTGAAATGTCATAGGTGTCAATAGTTAATTAGAACTCGTAAAGCTTATTGTAAGAAAACATGAAATGGATTTTTAAGTTAAATAACTGGGCTACACACCATGACTGGAAGAAATTTACACATCGACATTAATCCTTTGACTATGTATGGTAAATTTTTTATGTAAGAATATCTACCAAAGAGAAATGACCAAGAGAATATGCTGACAAAATGAGAGGAGAGCGAAGAAGCCGCTTACAACTCTGAATATCTAACAAGTTGCTATAGTTCCTAAAGTATTATAAAAATGCATAAATGATTATAACCAGAAGTCACTGATGAGACTGTAGCTCTACTGGTCTGTACGTATAACAAAGGAAAAGTAGCACTTGGATTCGAAACTTTGCAACATGCAACAATAAATAGAATGTAGTCTACTTCTGTGCCAAGTTATATTGAAATCAAATGAAAACTGTTGGAGGAGTAGCGTTTTAAAATATTTCACAGAAATTTCTATTTTTAGTAAAATACCAGGTGCACATCTTCATATGGTAAATAATAAGAGTACAAATTTTCATACAAATCTATGCTATAGTCTCTGGGAACAGATCCGGACAAAACCATATAATAAAAATGAAAAAACACCTGTAAAATGCAAAAAAATTATCCAATTATGATGAAAATACCAGGTGCATACCTTCATATGGTGAATAATAAGTGTACAAATTTTCAGACAAATCCTTGCAACAGTTTCCAAGAAATGGTCCGGACAAAATTTCATCCATAGACAGACGGTCATGCCGATTCCAATATACCCCCTAAACTTCATTTGTGGGGGTATAACTAAAGGAGGAGTAACATTTTAAAGGAATTTCACAGAAATTTCTATTTTTAGTAGCCATGGCAACACTGTTCATCGAAATCAAAAAAACCGATGCATTAAATTATGTATCTTAGTGTAGTCTACTTGTATGCCAAGTTATATTAAAATTAGACCAAAACTGTAGGAGGAGTAGTGTTTTAAAGAAATTTCACAGAAATTTCTATTTTTAGTAACGATGGCAACACTGTTCATCGAAATAAAAAACGATGCACTAAATTTTGTATCTTAGTGTAGTCCACTTGTGTGCCAAGTTATATTAAAATCAGATCAAAACTGTAGGAGGAGTAGCGTATTAAATGAATTTCACAGATATTTCTATTTTTAGTAACCATGGCAACACCGTTCATCGAAATTAAAACCGATGCACTAAATTATGTATGAAAGTGCAGTCTATTTGAGTGCCAAGTTATATTGAAATCAGACCAAAAATGTAAGAGGAGTAGCATTTCAAATGAATTTCACAGAAATTTCTATTTTTAGTGACCATGGCAACACCGTTAATCAAAATCAAAAACCGATGCACAATATTATGTATCTTAGTGTAGTTCACTTGTGTGCCACGTTATATTGAAATCAGACTAAAACTGTAAGGAGTAGCATTTTGAAAAATTGTTTACAGACAGACAGACAGATGGCCGGATGACGGACACCTTACTATTGCATAAGCTCTTCTGGCCCCGGGATCATGAAACATCTTAAGCTTAAGTCAAAATCTTTATTTTATACTAAAATATTGTAGAAGTCAAGCAGACCAACATTAAAATGTTTTTCAATATTGCTTCACTAAAGTGTTGTTTTCTGCAAATTTAGAGATTAATTCAATAATTAATAAATATTTTACAGGCAATTGAAAATCTGACTTAAGTCTAAGTCTGTTTCATGATCCTGAAGGCTGGTCTCTGACCAGTAGAGCTAAAAATGGGAAGGTTAAAATTTTTCTTCATTTTGTTAAAACAAAATAAACAAGAGATGTTTGTTAAAGACTTATGCCCCCCCCCCCCCAATAATTGGAATTTTTCTAAGTCCAGGGGGTATAACTTTGTAAAAAAAAAAAATAGCTTGATCATACCCAAAACAGAATTTGACCTAGATATTCTTATGATAAATCTGTATACCAAATTTTCATTTCAGTGTGTGCAACCTCTGCGAAGAAAATGAACGAATTTTTTTTTCTAAGTCCAAGGGGCATAACTCTGTCAAAAACTGCTCGATTGAACCACAGAATTTGACCTAGATATTCTTATGATTAATCTGTTTACCAAATTTCATTTCAGTATGTGCAACCTCTGCGAAGAAAAATGAACAGAAACTACATATAATTGAAATTTTTCTAAGTCCAAGGGGCATAACCCTGTACAAAAATTGCTCGATCGTACCCAAAACAAAACCTGACCTAGATATTCTTATGATAAATCTGTATACCAAATTTCATTTCAGTAAGTGCAACCTCTGCGAAGAAAATGAATGGCAACTGTTGGTGGACTGACAGACAGATGAACAGCCAGACACACTGACCGACAGCAGCAAAGCAATATGTCCTCCCTTATTCGAAGGGGGGGGGGGGGAATAATAAATCCTGTATATCCTCTAACTGTTTCAGCAGCGAATATAATGTACTAGAAATGACACTTCCTTAGCTGTACGCCAAAATGTAATTCACAACATAGATACTGCACGACTTTTAAAATGCAAGTTGGTAATTTTTTTCGTTTTGAAAAGTACCATTTCCTTAAAATATTTTATATTACAGAAAAAAATCATGATCGGGCATAAACTGTTGTTCTGAATGGAGACAAAGCTCTTGCAATTGCAGAAAAGGCCCCCTTTTCACTTCCCGGCCAAGTCCATGGCATGAAAAAAAAAGATATTTCTAAAACCTTTCTTGTGCACATTTGTGCATCCAAACATTCCAAAATATACCTATCTGTCAAGTATCCAATATTATGTATCTATCTTCTAATAGGTTTAATAGACGCAACAAATGAGCTGTTTTATAAACACAATAAGTACTTCGCTGGACCAGGATTGATACCAGCTGTGACATCAAGAGCATTGGTGCATAACATCAGTGATCAAAATATGAATATTGAGAAATTTAAATTTTGAATCACTGAAACATCAAAATTATTTATTTTCAAGCAAAAAATTCTAAATGGATGATTTTTTTAGCATGTAAACTTTGCCATATATAAAAAAAAAATAATAAAAATTGAGACGTGATAAAATTCCTTAACTTAGATTTTCTTCCATATCATAAAGCTACATTTCGTCTTATCAATATTCAACACCATTAGATTTCTGGAACTCACACAAATTAGCATTTCAATACAATGCACATTATTATGACACGTATACATGTAAAGTTGCATAATCAGCAAAATTAATCCTACAAGAATTCCTTGATCCATAGCTTGTAACCAATAGTCTGTTAGTTTTGTAAATGCTGTTTGACAGGAATGAAACTGTCAAAAACCAGATTGTGATTTACACAGAAGATCAAAGTTAAGGAGGTATTCTTCTCATATTTGCAGTATTTAAAAATCAATAAAATTTTCACAGAATCAAGAAGACAATATCACTAAGTGATGGTATCAGTTAGATTAAATTTGACCCGTTTTATATTAGAGGCAAGGTCAGGTCAAGGTCATTACCTTTTCCCTGGACATAAAGAATAAAAAATTACTGTTGCAAATCATGCGATGCCTAATTTTATTTCAATAGATTAAATGTTTTTCTTTTTGCATATAGAGATATTACCATATAGGGTCTATAAGATGATATTACCAAACTGACATAATTTAACTAAAATGGATATTGGCTAATCCAAATTTTCTCTATTTTTCTTAAAGTTTAAAGATATTTTAGTTATTTTTATATGCTTCCTATATTTAAATTTTTCTTATTTTCACATATGATAAAGTTATCATATAAAGATACAAAATGATATAAAAACAAAAAGTTTTGATCATTTACTTCGAGAGAAAAAACACTTTTTATGGATTTTTGGCTCAAATCTGTACTTAGATTGGAAGCTTTTAAAAGCTAACATACATGTAATTTGGTGTTTGTTTGGAAAATTATATTTATCTGATAGATTTTAAAACTTTAGTCCCTTGTTATTAATTTTACTTGCATTTAAAAAATTCTTCAAGTCTTTGTGTAAAAATTATAACTATATTCATTGTTCTAATAATAATTTTGAGAAGCTTTAGAAAAGAAGATATTTTCATACACCACCATTCCGCCAAAAATATAATCCCTGCTAGCTTTCAAACTCAGTTTACCATTTCTATTTAAAGTTGTACAATTGTGGTGAGAAAAAAAATATGATCTTTCAAATCTCTTACATCTAAATATATGAAACATATAGGTATATACGCTTTGAAATATTTCATCTTGTCAGAAGCTAGACAAGAACCCCTCCTTAATGGTAAAATCCCGTAATCATTTGGCTATGTGATTTTCAATTAATTTGAACAATGTTGGAAAAATTTATATAGGTCTGTAGTTCCCTGGATCAGCATGAATGTTTACCATTCTTAAATGTAGGAGTGACTTTTGCTCTCTTTAAATGTGAAGAAAATATATCATTAATGATGCTAGCATTTGTAAGATGTGTAATGGATTTGCATATGACGTTAGCTGAAAGTTTTCATTCCCAAGTTTTGATTTTGTAAAGTTGTTTAATAATTCAGAATCAAAATTTTGCATTGAAATATCTGACAATAACTTACTGGGTACTTCTGTAAAGTGTTTGTTAAAGATAAATCAACTATTTCCTGTAAATTTTCAAAATCCAAACCATTCTGAGTGATATGGGTTATTGTAAATTTTTGGAGTCGAAAGACGCCAAATGGTTTGAATAACCCTGCATTTCTTTAGGACGAGCTTTCTTCATTGGCTGATTTGTAATAAGATGTTTTGGCTTGACCAAAAAAAAAAAATGGAATCCCTCTCTCTCCACTTAATTTGTCTGTTTATACAGATATACAAAACTAAAAAAATTACTTAAATGTCAATTTCTAAAATTTAAATCTATAACAATAAATTGAATGCCTCTTTGTATAATCTTGATAATGTATGATATTTATGTTCCCCAAACAAAGTTTGGGAACACATTGTTTTTACTCTATTTCTTCTTCTTCTTCTTTTTTTTAACTTTCTTCTCCGGTACTTTTTTGTCTGGGAGTGTTTTCATAGAACCACTCATCCGATTGACATGAAACCTTTTTAGGGTTAATAGGCATGTTGTGTGTTCGGAATGAAAGTCATTTATAAATAGTCAAATATGAAGGTCAAGTATAAAAGTTGCGGCTTCATCAAGTATACAAGTATACGGGGTATCAGTCATTTCACTCATTGCACGCGTGCACGTGCATGCATGTGTGTGTGCGTGCAATGAGTGAAATGATTGATATACTTGATGAAGTCGTAACTTTTATATTTCTTGATGAATTGCTTTGAAACTCGGAATATAAAGATACATTAGACAAGATGACATGGTCAAATTAGCGTGAACTCACGTGCATGCACGTGCGCTCTTCTCTGATTGGCTGATACAAAAAATCTCAATTATTTCTTTGTTTTTTGACAAAATACTATATATTATAAGGTGCTTCAACATGTTATTTAGGAAATCTCTTGAATACATGCGCATGCAGGTGTGCTGCAATCTGACTGGCTGAAACTTTAAATGTCTATAACTCCCTTTGAATGGCTTATACTTAAAGGGTTACATCTCTCTTATTTTTTAAATGAAATTCTTTGATATCTAACACAAATGTTTATATTGTAAGACACTATAAGAAAACATATGTGAAAACTGTAGAAAACGTGTGCAAGCACATGTGCTGAAATTTGATTGGCTAATACCCATATGGCTATATTGGAGTATAGTTTTCCAATAAAATACCCTACAAAATAAAGTGTCTATCTATATTACAAAAGTATTGCCTAATTTGATGAAGCTTGTAGGGAATGGGGCATCATAAGGAATTGGGGATCCTTTTGGGGAACATCTGTAACGGTTCCTGTTACAATTAGCACTAGTTTATAATGCGATATATTGAGATTCTTTAACAAGTCTATCAAAAATGTCTTATAGACCAATTAATGCATGAATTTTATAAAAACTAATTTCTTTAAAACACATTTGTCTCACCCTCATTACAATTAAACTTTGAATTCAAACTTTAAAAGACTGTAAAATCAACATGTTAAAAGAAAGTTGTCTATGTATTTTGTAATATTTATTTAAGATGTCCATCTCCTTAATGATTATATCATGAATGATCAATTTTAATTCAAAACAGTGAAAGTATAACTATTGGTGATTGATATTCTCAACTCGTCACAAAATTATAAGAAAATCTGCCTGTCTGATACGTATTGGAAGTTATTTTTTGATAAGATACATTCTTGAATATTGATTCTTATTGATATACATGTATTGATACAGCCCTAATAATCACGGGGAAGTGTCTAAAGATACATGTAAAAGTCTGCTCAATAAATCATCATTATAGAAATGTCACATAAATATACATGTATTATTGCATTAAAATATTAGAATATGAGTGTATTTATGCAATACATCCACAGACCTTTGTATAATATTTATAATTGTGATATTTTTTTAATTATTTTTCATGGAATTGCCTTGGTACAGAAATACATGTATGGTTGTTACAACCATCTATATCTATAAATTAATAAATTTTGCAAATAAATTCCGAAAGGCCTGCACTAGGATTCATACTTTCTCCACTAAGAATACACTAGCTATAAGGTGATGTCCGTAAACTATATTCAGATTTCACTTGCATAATAATTATCTTAAATTTAATTAAAAGTCTACTTTCATTTTCAGTAAACAGCCTTGAAATTAAAAAATCGATAGTACGGTGGTGGTTCCGGTTTTTGGACCTAAGTTACTGGCATTTTTAAATGAAATTGACAACATGCAAGTGTTTAATTATTTCATAAAACGTCTTTAATGAATTATTCATTCAAATCTTGATTTAAGTGAATAAAAAAAAATAAGTTGTGATTACTGATTAAAAAAAATGTACAAATCCTTTCCATTTATGTCTGATCTCACTCTTGACTGAAAGTTCTAGAATGTCAGATTGCATCGAACTCGATGTTAAAAAGAAAACTGAGGCATGAAAATAATGGTACAGCAATTGATAACACTCTTGAGTTATGAATATATCTATATATTGAAAGTAAGTTGTGCTAATAAATTTACAAATAAAATGTTCATATTTACAAGTTACAACTAAAAGCGTCATGGCAACAAACTCAAAGTACAATCTTTATTTAAAGTAATAAATCTGCTGAGAGAAAACAACAATTAATGACTATGTTGATTTGTTTAAATATATTAAGTAAAAGTGGTGCCCATAATTTTTCACATCTACACTATCTGAAAAAATATTTAATCAGGTCACAGTTACCTACTTTTCAGTCGGCATACTCCAAGCACCCAAGATGCACCAACCAACAAAGTTTGATGACTCTAAGCAAATTAGTACCCCAAAATATTTAAATATAGCTATAAAATTCCAAAAGTAGGTCAGAGTGACCTACATTTAAGTAGACATACTCTGTGGATCCAAGATGCATCAACTGATAAAAGTTTGGTAATTCAAAGCCAATTAGTGCCTGAAATATGTAAAAGATTAGCCAAAAAATTTCAAAAGTACGTCACGGTGACCTACTTTTCAGTCAACTTACTCCGAAGACTCAAGATGCATCAACTGACAAAGTTTGATGATTCTAAGCCAATTAATACCCAAAAATATTTAAATATAGCCATAAAATTTCAAAAGTAGGTCACAGTGAAGTACTTTTCAGTTGACATTTTTTGAGGACCCAAGATGAATCAACTTACGATCGAAGGCCTAAAAATGTCCAAAATATGAATCTAAAATGAAACCAAATGCCTGCAAAGTTCAAAAAGTAGGTCACTGTGACCTACTTTTTAATAAATATGTTTTATGGCCCCAAGATGCATCATCTTACAAGATTTAATGATTCTAAACCTCTCAGTATTCGATTTTAATGACCATAAATGTTTCGTAAAAGATTAGCCATAAAATCCCAAAAGTAGGTCAAGGTGACCTACTTTTTAGTTGACTTACTCTGAGGACTCAAGATGCATCAATTGACAAAGTTTGATGATCACAGGCCTTTTAAAATTGTTCAAAATATGCCTCTAAATCATTTTGAAAAATTTAAAAAGTAGTTCACTGTGACCTACTTTTGAGTCAACATGATATGAGGTCCTGAGATGCATCAACTGACAAGATTTGATGATCCTAGTCCTTATAGTAAGCAAAATATCAACATTTTCATAAATTTAATTTTTGGCCAACTTTGAAGTGACCTTGAGACCATGACCTTTGCCCCAGGGTGATGCCTTAAAACAATTTTTAATCTACAACATATCCTCGTCCTTTTACGTAAGTTTGTTGATAATCTGCCTAGTGGTTCTTGAGAAGATTTTTTTTTGGCAACCAGTACTTTTGGTTTTATTTACCTAATTATCTCCCCTTGTTTAAGGGTCACAACCCTAGTTTCAGTACAAACAGGAGCCCATGGGCCAAGGATACACTGTAACAAATTTGACAATAATTGGCCAAGGGATTCTTGAGTTATGGCCCATATTCTAAAATGTTTACACACACTGCACAAATGTCCATGCATTAGCTCTTTGAGTCTTTGGCTCAGAAGAGCTAAAAAAGCGGAAGAATCATGCCAAAATCAGAAGGGTAAGCAGGTCTGCATATTTCATGTTAAATTCTAGCTTAATTTATGCTAAACAAGTTTTAAGAATCTAAAATACCTCAACAACTGCAAGAACTGAATTCTTTCTGCGAGGATTGATGACTAAAGCATCAGGAACTGATGAAGTCTCTGTCCCACTAACATCAAAAGTGTATCGTCCAACATTTGGCACTCCTCTAAAAACATGATCTCAATATATATAAAGCATATAAAGACAGGTTTACTTTGTAAATGATTAAAAAGGAACAACTTTTGATTCAGAATATCTGTAATGTTTGAGAAAACAAGATATGTCAAGGTTACATGAATGCCCCCACTGACCTGCATGTTTTTTTTTTATACCCGCACTTTTTAAAAGAAAGTTCAGGTATATTGTTGTTAATCATGTCCGTCCGTCCCTTGGTCCGTCTGTCACACTTTCTTCTTCCTCAAACCCCTCTTACATTTTATGCAGTAGCCTAATCATCTTTTAAGCGATGGTTGGTGGTGTCCTGTAGATGTGCAATAAGGTTTCGGAATTTTCAATTTCACCCTCGGGGTCAAACGGGGTCGAAAAATGACGTTATTTATGCAAAAAGACCCTGGTTCCCTGAACTCCTGTTACATTTTATACAGTAGCCTAATCATCTTTTGGGAGATGGTTGATGGTGTCCTGTGGATGTGCAATAAGGTTTCGGAATTTTCAATTTCACCCTCGGGGTCAAATGGGGGTCGAAAAATGACGATTTTTATGCAAAAAGCCCCTGGTTCCTAGAAATCTTCTTACATTTTGCAACTTAGCCTAAACATCTTTTGGGAGATGGTTGGTGGTGTCATGTAGATGTGCAATAAGGTTTCGGAATTTTCATTTTCTCCCTGGGGGTCAAATGGGGGTTGAAAATGACGTTTTTTATGCAAAAAGCCCCTGGTTCCCTGAACTCCTTTTACATTTTACACAGTAGCCAAAGGTACTATTTAGCTTAGAATCATCACAATATGAAATATCTGTAAAATGCTTTTAAATTGTAATTTTTCCTGTTGCATTTTTTAAAATCATTTTACAAGCTATCATTTTAAGTAAAGGAAAACAAAGTTGTAAATACTGACTATAACTGGTATGAAAATATTTTGTTGTGAAAACTACTTTCTGGCGTTTCTAAAGAGCAAAGACAGGGAAACTACAGTAATGTTGTGATTGAGCACGTGGCAAACCATGTGTAAATGTAAAAACTTCCTTTAGCAAACCCATTAAACAAAAGTTCAACTAGATGCTGTCGTGAGACAGTAATACCCACACTAAGGTGTTTGCCTCTAAATGCACACTCCTTCATATTGGGCTTACCAAGGAAAAAGTCAAAATAATTAGAACTATAATTTACACAGTAAATGTATTCGTCAATTCAAGCATAAAATGCTCAGGTGACCATGTGACATATGAGCCTCTTATAGGTATTTCCTTTACTTAAGGAAGCGATTGCAAGGCGTCACGTGATCGACTCATATGAGGTTTAAAAAAAGAAAGTTTACGGTAACCATTTCCAGAATAAGGGGCGTGATATGATTGCGCCAATGACAAAAAGTCCTTGTGGCAATATCTCATGAACAGAGAAAGAATAGGACGTGAGTGTTGGGGAGTGTCGACGTAGTTTTTTTCATCTATGTGTTTTGTTTTGACACGTCTAGCTTTTGTGTATATGGTTCTGAACATTGAAAACTATTTCATTAATAAATTGAATTTGTATCTGGATCTTTATGTCCTCTTGTTTTAATTAATTAAAATATTAGAATTTTCTATTGGATCTACACCAACGTATATATTCATTTCCTAGAAGCTTCAGACGGTGTAATTTTCTCAGTAATTAATGAAAATGGATGAACAGATGGACGAATGCAATTTTGTTATATAACTTTACGTTATAGACTAGTTTGAGGTTGCATGCTGGACATGAACATCTATTTCTAAATATTGCAAAGGGAATTTGTTTTCCTCTATAAGATCTTTTCTAGCATTTTCAACACTTACCTTGGCCATGTAAACATTAAATCATCGGCGCATATATTGTGTAAATATTTTGTTGTAAAATGTTTTATGTGTCGTATTTTGTCAAAAAATTAAAACTGAACACTTATTCTGACAGAAAAGAAAAGTTCCTTTTTGCAAGTTTTCACAATTCTAGCAAAAAATAATTTTTGAAATAATCTTTTTTGAAAATTCACGAGGACATGAACAAACACGCTTCATGCCAGCATATGTTATGAAGCGCATCAGCACGAAGCGACGCAAATTTATGTCATTCAACAATTATTTTTGAAACTCAAGTTTCTAGTTTTGACGTCAAGTGTGGAATTATGACGTCACAATGGAGATATTCTTGCTCCCTCATGTTCCCATGTACCTTGTTCATGAGAAGATGATGCGAAGAATATGATGGAAAAAATTTGCAAATGTAAATATTAAATAGCAAATCACTATTTTTTGCAAAATAAGATATTAGGATTTTTATATATTTATTGCAGATACAAGTTCAATGAAATAACCCCTATTCATTCAATATGTTCAGACAGGTGTCTACCCCCCCCCCTTTCCAGGTCACAGTGCAGAGACCTCGATGTTTGTTCAGCGCATGAACAATTTGCCCCTTGAACCACTGTGTACTGGTTTAGAATATATATATTTATATTGATATAATAACGGAATGAATGTTTTGGAGACGGGAAAATAAAAAAAAAAACCAAATGTTGTTATTTTTTTGAGTACAAAATTTTATTTTTTTTTACTTTTGTTATTCTGATTTACATATAAAATGAGCAACAAACGCAAGATTTACAGGAAAAAAAGTATTTATTGATCTAAACATATTTTTTTTTCTTTAGTCTTTTAAGGATACACCAAAGGCTTTTTTCAAGATTTTCAACAATTTTGAGATTTTTGGCTAAGAAAAAGAAGTTAATCACTGCTTTATAATGCATGTAAAATTCTTGGTAATTATGAAATGGTTTTCTAATTATTTAACAATAATGAAACATAAACACTACCACATGTGAATGTTCCGTTATTGAAGCTTCTGATTTGATCTGTGACTGCCTGCTCATGAAAGACGCAATAAATCACTGTGACCACTTGGGGAATTCTTCACTAGCCACAAAGAGATTATCAGTAATTAAACTACAGGGACTCTAGATTTAGAGAAGGAGATCTAACAGATCACTGATGACCATAAAATAGGAGGTGGAGCTTAGCTCTTGCCATTTTGCCGGGAAATCTTTCTGATTCAGAATTGAACCTATTTTACTTAATTAAAAGCATCTAAATACAGAAAAGAACCTCCCATTCTTGTGAATATGCATAGGAAATATGGCTAAGTGACAGGTATCCAAAGCTGAATCTCCAAGGTGTCATATATTCCTAGCTTTGGCAGATTTTGTTGTGTAATGGGTTTTTGCCCTCTACTGTAAAGTAAGATCAGACAGTTTGTGGTATTATTTCAAAGGATTCAGCTCCCTCATTTATTGACCAATTTCTCTGAAAATTGGATGGGCTTCTTCTCAAATGTGTGTTCACAAAACCGTATCTCAGATTTTTGATATCTAGCTTAGTTTTGGAATTATTGAGGGAAATGTTAAATTAGGCTAATAAATTGGTAACATTGAAGGGCAAATGGCTGTAACTTTTGAATTAGAAGATTTATCAAAAATCTGAGATACAGTTTTTAAGTTCAATCTTTAATCTACCTTGAGGCAAAATGACCACTTTGAGGGGTTAAATACAAAAAAGTTGATTTATAAAATATTTAAGCACTAAAATTTACATTAATATTTAAATAATTTTTAAATAAGTTATTAATTAAAGTTTAAATTAGGATAATTAAATAGTAAATTTAACAAGCTTTCAAATGATATATACTTTTATTATGTTATCTTTGATAATGAAAGAATTACATGCAAATTAAATTCTAGTGTTTGGAAACCTTTGGTGTATCCTTAACAGACTATACATATTTAAGGTTCAGCAGCAAATCATAATACAAAAATTTATGAAATCTTATTAAATTCTAGGAGGGGGGGGGGGGAGGGTATTGAATTGCATGTAGCTTCAAAATGAATGTGATGACCTTACTTCATATTTTAATCATAAGTCACTTATGATAATTTGTACAAAATATATTAGTTTTTGGAAAATTCATTGGGTAATTTTTTGTCAGGACGTTGAGAACTGCTCTTGAGGTGAAAATATTACTGCAAATTTACAATGAATACTCCCCAAAGCAGCGGTGGCATTACTTCATCTATCAATATTTTTCCATACAATTTTTATTTTCATTGAATATAAAGCATATTATTTAATATCTAGTGGAATTTCTTTTATTTTGTTTCAATTTTGATACCTGTATGGGATATATAAATTTTCACCTCATAATTATCAAAATATTAAAAACCTGCGGTTAGCATGACAACCATATCATCCTTATAACCCTGATGACCATGGTTGAAATTTTCATATCATGATACCATTAAGTTAAACGTAAGGCAAATTATATGTAAAAATGAGAAATATTCATTGAGCGGATTTTTTTCACGGAGCCTTGCAATCACTTCCTTAATTCATTACCAGTCTGAAATAACAGAATTTAATTAATTATGTAAATTAGGTATTGATAAAAGGGGAGATTTAAATTTTTGGCCCATAATTTGAACTTTTTAAACTTATTTTCTCAACAACAAATAATATTATTTTAGTACAAAGCGTTTTTGATTAATTTATCAAAATGTGCAAACTTTTTTTTTTAGTATTTGTTTAAGCATAAACCTCCTTGAAAAGCCATACCCAATTGTGTACCCCCCCCCCCCCCCCCCCACACACACAAATTGCCTGTTTTTGGAAATAGGCCTAGATAGCAAAGCTATGTTAAAACATCGTTTGTTATGATAATTTAAAATTTGTTCTTGTACTGTACATGTATGTGAACACCTTTTTGAAAATTTCTACATCACATTGGGCTTGTGTCACCCTACTAGTACTAGTTTTACCATTATCATTTTCACATTGCACATGGTGCAGTATGGTGTACACGACATTACATGTATGTCAGTAGAAATTAATTCATTTTGTGTTTTAATTGGATTATATTTCATGAAGTTGACAGGACCTATGACAGTCAAGTACAAGTTTAAGTACAGATTGGGGTAAAATAACCGA